TTTTTGCCGTCTTGCCATTTCTGCCAAATCCTTTTTCCTATAAATTTACTAATATAATAGAAGATAAACTTTACATTGATTTCCATAAATTTAAACTGTTTTATAAAAGAATTTTATGTTTTACTTAACTTGGTTATTGCATCACAGTTTTGTAGTTTTATTTGTCGTTTTTGGCAGGTTGTTTTGTTATATGTTATTTCGTGGTGGCAAATTTTGTTTGTAAGGGCATTTGCCTGTAGTGTTTGTAAATAAATAAATAAATAAAATAAATACAAGCTCTTTCTTCTTTATTAATTAAAATGCTTTTACAAGCAAACATTCTAACAGACCAATAGAATAAAAACATAAATACAGTGTTTGAAATTTTGATATTTCAGTAATTGTTATTTTATTTTGTTTGCAAATCATTTTGATTTAAAATTGTATTATAATTGCATGTTTGGTGCATGGGATATAAACTAAATACAGTAGAGCATCAATTATCCGACTCAATTCGGGACTGGGGTTGGTCGGATAATTGAAAAGTCAGATAACCAAAAAGTATGAAAAAAATCCATTATTAGTGTAGTATATTATTATATCCCATGTAATTAGTATATTAGTATATTGCTATTAACCTACTTCGCATTGAATTTTCCTCCATGTTAAGCCCATCAAATTTTTTTTAAAATAATAATTGTCGCTATTGTATCGTTAAAAATTAGAAAATTAAGCCTCGTTTAAATACTGGCTTTTTCTCATGGTCGATCCAGTGTTGCCAGATAAAACATGTAAAAATAATATTAAAGTAGCCAAGACATAGCCAAATATTGTAGTGCCACATCACTAGCGGACATTTGAATTTGCCGACTAGAACGTGGTCGGTTAACCGAGGTGATGGTTAATTGGGGGTCGGATAATCGATGCTCTAGTGTAATATAAAGCTCATTTATGTCAGATTGAATGTAAAAAAATCTGTTTGCAAATTTTTTTTTTTATTGGAAAAATTGATAATTGAATTAGTTAAGCATTCATTGTATGTGTTAGATTGGATTATTCATCATTTAAACTAGATTGTTAATTAAATGCATTAGGTAATTTGTAATGGATTAAGTAATAATTGGATAGATGAAATATAATTAGTTTTAGTTGCCTGACTTCAGCATCTTTCTGAAATGATTTTGACGTGGCTAATTTCCTATTTTATTCTATCTTATTTCAACCTTGTGAATGTAAATAAAAACTAAAAATATTAAATAGTTTACCATTCTGTAACACAATATTTAATTAAAGACAAAAAGGTAGAATAACAATTTTAATTATTAATGACAACAGGAATGACAAAGCAGTTTTTTTAGAATTGTTATTTTCTATTTATTAAACTAAAAATTGCATATTATATTCTTGTAAGAGAATTTTATCTAATTATGATGGATTATGTCATATTTTTCCCATGAATCTGTTAGCAATAATTTAATATTAATCAGTCTTTATTGACTGAGGAGAAAATTCTTCCTTATCTAAGGGAAATATATGATGAATAATGGATATATAATAATACAGAAATTACCATAGATTACTAAAATACAAAAAGTTTGTCATAAATAGTACATGAAAATATTTAGTACAATTTCTTGAAATATTTTGAAAAACAATATTTTAATCATTCAAAAAATGAGTATTACAATAGAAAATTAAATGATTATAACAGAAATGATTGATTATATTGATTTTTAAAGACATTTTTCAGAAAGTTTACACATTTATACATAGAGTTGTAGAAAGTTTTGAGTAATAGTAGTCATTGTCAGACAAGAACTGACCAAAATATTTTAACCTCAACTATATAATTTACATTTTAGAAGAAAAGGTGAAAGTAAGTTCAATTCTTTGCATTCAAAACAAATATTTGGAAAATCATTTAATAATTTGGTTTTTACAATGAATAGTAAATTTATTTAATTTTACTTGAACTATTAATCAAATATCATAATGTAGCCTATAAAAGAATAGGTAATGATCATTCTTAAGAGCAAATAAGTATGAAGAGTGTGTAGTAGATATATTAATGTTGTCTTGATCACATTGAACAAAGTTGTAACTCTACTACAGAATCACTCAGGACCAAAAACTATTAAGATGGCTCACATTTCATCAAAAATAGGAAAGATTACCAACAGAAACTGTAATGACGATGAATGAAATCATGCTGTAATGATCTTCTTTAATTAATATTTGTAAGAGCTTGAATTACAAAGAATTGGAATTTTGAATAATATTCCTCAAAAAATTCTTATATAAACTAATAATAATAATCCTTAAAGGAAGTCAGCCCAAATCAAAGTTGATAACATATCCTGGAACTGAATTTTTCAATTATTTGAACATTTGTGGCTACACGCCTGTTTTTCTTTTATTAATATTGTTATTATTATTAGTAGTAGTCTGTATAGTTTTAGTTTAATTTAAATTCTAGAACTTTCCTTCCTTCCGATTTCTTTGTTCCTTTGTCTCGGATTTCCAAGAACTCGCCTCACCCCTAACCCATCAGGGGGTAGCCTTAGAACAAAAGACGAAAACGGGGCTGGAAGAGAGGAAAACAAAGGGTTTTTAGGCATTCTTAGGCCGGACTCAGAGAGCGAGAGACGTGTGGCAGCAGGCTCTGGAATGGAATGTTGGGGGAACGCTGCAGAAGGAGGCCGTAAGAAGCGGATCGACAGAAGAATCTGGTCAACGATTATAAGACAAATGCCAAAACGGACCCAAATTGTTCTAAAAGGAAGAACAGCCGAGAACAAAGCCGAGGCGAGGAACGGTGGAGAACCAACAGGAGAATTGGGTACCCTCTGTCCTTTAATTCTTCTTACTTCCCCTTTCTATCTTTTCTATCTCTTAGTTTAATTTAGTTTTAAGTTAGTTTAAGTTTATGCGTGCGACTAATTTTGTCGGGAGGTAGTTACCGAGAAAGAAACTACCGGTCTATTGGTACATCTGATCGCTCGGGATTTTGGAAACGTGTGTAGGTAACAGCAGGAATCCGAACTTATTCTGTATATATATTAATGTTCGCGCGAAATTAAACTTGTTTAATTAGTAAAACGTGTCTGTGTTTTCCTGTCCGCGCTGTACATTTTCACACATTTGTAAAAACTGGATTTGAATACCCTTTATCTTATCTAGAAACTTGATATTCCAGGAGTTGAATAAAAACACATATTTAAACAGAGATTGAAATAAACAAAATACTATTTTATTTCTTAATTTTGAAGATAAAAATATTAAATTCTTATTTGTTTGGATTGCATGAGAAACAATATACCTGTAGTGAGAATTAAATGAAAGTTTGCTGTCAGAAATCAAACTCAAACATCTATATTGATCAAAAATTTTAATGTAATTGTTTCATAAAAGCCATTTATCTGAAGTAGGCAATCAACCCCCCTCACCTAAAAACAGCAATTTTTGATTTAAATAAATTGATATGTAAATCCTTTTCTAAATAATAATTATAAAAGAAATTTAGTTTCCTCTGCAGGTCTATTTTGAATCTTTAAAATGATAACTATATCATTATGCATAGCAAAATAAGAAAGTTCATAAGGATCAATAAGAAAATTAACAAACTCGGGTTTTAAAAAGAAGTTATGTAAGTCATTAATATACAAAATAAAAAGTAAGGACTGTGGGGATAACTCTGAGGAAGTCCTCCAATTCTTTTACTAGTAAGATTCAGTATTCTACTGTACATTTACACTGAAATTAGAAAATAAAATATAAATAATGTGGACAAATTTAGAAGAAAGATTATAATCAATTAATTTATTCATAATTTAATTACATTAACTGAATCAAATTCCTTAGAGAAGTTGTCAAAAGACTAAAAGATGAGAGTTAGGTTTTAACATAGTAAGCTGGATAAAACTACACAAAACAAGAATAACTTGGTAACTGCTGTTCCTTGATCTATTGTAATAATCCATTTTTTAACATGTGACAAAACACTTTTCTCTAGTTTGTCAATAGTGCAATGGGTCTATAATTATTAGGATTATGAGGACTTTTTTGTAGATCTTGTACTATAAGTAATGCAATTCAAATTTTCTGATATTAAATAATTTGGTATTAATTTTTAATAATTTATGTTCTGTAAAAATACAAAAAAAATTTAAGGCATATTTTATNAAAGAACCAATTTCATTGCAAATACCCTTGGGGAAGAAGAATTTAATTCAAAGAGACAATTTTATTTGAAATATTTTTGAAACATTTTCATTTTTATCTTCAATGAAACTTTCAAAATGATTCAAAAACAAATATAAAGGACTTATAAATATTTCATTATCGTCTAACATTTGTCTCCCAGAGACAAACATTAGATAATAATGAAATATTACTGAAATATAATGAAATAATACTGTTTTCTTCAAAGATTGATTTCAAATACATCTGTTTGAATGAATGTTAAAATTATTAACATACAGGCAAGATTTGCATTTGCCCTTCAAAAGAAATACAAGAAAAAATTAGTGTGGATTTTTAAATGCCAAAAACCAAGAACAAAAAGAGATGTGCAAGTTTCCATTGTCTGTTGAGATGAGATTTTCCCACTCCCATACTTCATAGACATTTTGAAGAATGGTCCAGTGTACTGTATGTCCCTGGAACATATAAACTGAAGATGGAACATATCATATCAGACATCGAGGCTCTCCTCTTTGGGACGAATGAAATCCAAAAAGAATATTTTCACTGGAAAACACAGTTTAGGATTAGAAATTGCAACTGGAAAGAGCCTATGCAATGTGCAGAATTTTATAGGAACCTGATGATGAGTAAAAGGTGTTTGAGGGAGAACAATGTTGTCTTATTAAAAGCAGATAAGAACAGATCCATGGTTTTAATGAAAAGGGATTCCTACACACAGGCATTATTACAGTACTTTGAGGACACAGGATGTGAAAAAATTGGAAATGATTACATTAATCACTTACAAAAAAAGGATCCATAGATTTACATGCATGATGCTTGCAAAACAACTGAAATTAGACAAGGAGATAGTCGAATCAATGGATGTTCCTAGACTGTTTGCTTGTGCAAAAACACATAAGGAGGAGCAACAACTAAGATTCATATTAGATAAGGCCAAGTCTTCTACCTGCAAATTAAAGCAAGCAGTACACAACTTATTCAACACCATTTACAGGGATACCAACTTAATATAACAAACTCAGGACAAATGGTAGAGATGTTATACCAATGCATACTAATGAGTAACCCTTGTATTACCATCTTGTAGTTTTTATATCTTTCAATCAGATTGAAACATGTTTCTATAACCTATATGATTGGCTGATGCAAAAAGTTCCTACACAAGAACACCATCAACAAATTTTGACGTTGCTTTGTTACATCTCCTGTTCCAATGGGATACCACAGTCTACCTACAAAAAACAGGGATCCCTGTGGATAGCCCATTGTCTGTTGATTTATATGAAATGGTTATATGATGATTAGAAGACATGGTTCTTCCTAATTCCTGTTGCAAATTGCTATTTATGGGCAATATATTGATGACTGCATTATTTGGACAGCCAAGCCTAACATCAATGATTTCATTCAAGCAATGAATGACAACCCATATGAACTAATTCTGGAGTTAGACTAAATTGGTGAGAACAGTGTGCATCTTTTAGATATAGACTTTTCTTTCCATGGCAAGTATTTTGACATGAAGATCTATTACAATCCAGACTTTATTCCATTATACATTAGGGTAACCAGATATTGACATAGTCAAAGTAGAACATTTGAAGTTTTATAATGCTTCCCAGTAGGACATTTGACAACCCAGCTTAAAACACTAAAAATTGATAAGTAAATAATTTTAAATTGATATACTACTCTTGTTGTTTTAAATGCTACTCTTTGTTGCAATTGTACCCATTATTTAATATAAAAACATGAAAAAAAGTTTATTGTTATTATTAATGACTACCTATTGGCCCAGAAATAGTTATCTGTGAAAGTAAGACATTTCTGTTAGGCGGTAGGACGTAGGACAAAAGGTTTAATTGTAGGACATGTCCTCCCACAGTAGGATGGGTGGTCACCCTATTATACATATTGGCCAACTGCAACAATCCATTTAACTACAAAGTAGCAGCAAGAGACCTATTCTTATTGCAGTACTATGAATGATACTAAGAAGGAGATGAGTTGCATCCATTGCAGACATCGCTACTATGGATGGCTACTCCAAGGGCTTGACCTATAAATTAGCCCATAGACAGGAAACAAAACAAACACAACCAGACAGGACACCCAAAGATACTGCTGTAGATAACCTGGCACTATGAGAAACCAAATCTTTCTGTAATGTGGTGTCTTACAATCATAACATGCATAATATATATTAGGAAATAACATAGTATGTAAACACAAGATTAACAAGCAAACATAGTCCCTGTGTGTTTAAAATGATCAGAAATGAAAGACCTGATCAACTACAACAGAGCACCAGGTATATACCATATTTTTGCACAATGACTGGCATGCTGGTCTATCCAGGGGAGACCTTGAAATCAGATATTTCTGTATGGTAAAAATCAGCATTCTGATTTATCCTGGAGGATGCCAGCATGCTGGTTTAAGTGAGGTTATAGATCCCTCTCTAGAGAGTGCATTGAAAAACAAATTAGCGATGTCACATAAAAATGAACAAGTTTTTATTCTAAAACTGTCAGCATTACATCAAAAACTATGATTACATGTTTAATTTCTTCATTTTGTCTTCTTTCTAATGACATAAGATACTCTTGGAATTCCAAAGTGCTTATTTTATGTGTATTTTATTATTTGATTCAAAAATGAAAAAATAAACATATTAAATTTAAGAAACTCACTATAAATTATGTTAGATTATACAGATTAACATAGACTTTGTGTGAAATTTGAGAGGAAGGTGTTATTTTTAAGATTAGGGTAGATGGTCAGTGTAGCCCACACTGACTAATTACTACTACTAATGCCAATCAGCCATTAATTGTTTTATTGTCTTGTAAATGATTTTAAGTTATTCAAATTACAATGTTATCATTTTATTTTACTCAGAAGAATGTTTTCTTTCATGTTTAAGTAACATCTAGTTTTGTTAGATCTGATTAATTTTATACTTTAGTTGCAGTTTAACTGACATGCTGATAACCCTGGCATGCTTGTCTCCTCGTTTATATGCAGCATGTTGGTCATTCTGTGAAAATATGATATAAGATACTTCTCAGAGATGAAAGGTTTCAGAGAGACTTAAACTATGTAGGTTTGATCATGAAGTAACTTAAAAAGTGCTTAACCAAACATAGAGTCGATACAGATAAAGCAAGGCAAACCACTGCCCTCTTGATATATGTGGAGATGGATGAAATTAAACCTGATTTACAACAGACTATGTTAATTAGAATGATGACAAACATGGACTGACTCAAAGTACTGGAAGTGCTAGATTTTTAAAGCAGAAAGACAAGTAAAATGTATAAATTTTAAAGAAGAGAAGTGCATTTCACATGCATGGCAGGCCCTGATACTTCATTATGAAAACCATTTTACAATTTCTACACTTGAACACATCTTATTGATCAATTTTAGAGGTTTTTAAATTGGTATTTTAGTATGAGCTCTTCTGCATCTGACACATTCAAATACCAAAATGTTAGACATTCTATCTGTTTGAAATTTGTGACGTGAAGCAGGTCTTAGGAGAAGAATGAAAATATTTGTTTTTCTGAACTTGCACCATTCTGCTGAGTGAATACCAAGGTAGGGAGTTTCCGCAGTATAGTATAACCCAGTTTCTGGAGTATTTTTATTTTTATATTATATCTAACATTAAACCCAATAAATTTTTGCCATGCTAAAACCATTATAATATTTTTATTAAATCTACAACTACGAAAATAATAATAAATTAATACATTTTTAACTGTTTATAGAAAGGATAGTTTACCACTTAATTCTTGCAATGAATATGATTTCACTTTAATACAATATTTTAAATTAATCAAATATTGAAGAACATTGTTATCACGTACCATCAAAGTATTTTCACATTCTAGCAGATAGATAGTAACAGATACATAGATCTAGTATTGCCAACCTTTAACCACCAGTTTTATTTTGATAAAGATATTTTTTTATTATTTTTCTGTTCTTTTCATTATCAATTATTTTTTCCCTTTTTCTCTTATTTTAAATTTTCTTCTTCATTTTTTAGTTCTGTCAATATTTTAGAAATCTGTGATAATTTTGAATGAAAATAACTGAATTTAATTTTTAAAAGAATAGGAATTAGTTTTCGAACAGTAGTTCAATCAAAACTAAAATTAAAGTATGATATGTTCAAAATAGCAAAATACAAGAACTTAAAATAATATGGAAGTAAAAAAATTAATTTATTAAATAAAGTTAATTTTATTTTTAATTTTTTAACCATTTTATTATTCAATTTTAATATGTAATTATTTTCAAATAGTGTGTTCATCCAGACAGAGAATGTGCTCAAGATTCCTGTCGAGCTTGTTTTGAAGCACAGCTTGCTCAGTTGCAAGAACAGCTTGTAGCAACTATGTTAGAAAATCAGCAGTTATGTAAGTTACAAAATTCTCTTTTTATAATTTTATAGTTTAATTAAATATATTAATCTGATACTAATGTACCTAATAAAGCTCAGGGTATCTTATAGAAATATCAAACATGTTTGAAAACTACACATTTTGTTAGTTAGGGACTATATACCAGGCATGGCCAACATACAGCCTGTGGGCCAGATCCAGCCTGCCTAATGAATTTATGTGGCCTGCGATCAATCTCTCAATATTAGCTACTGAAGTCCGAATAGCTCAGTGAAAAATTTTGACGCCTAAAAAAAAAGGTCAACAATTCATCACTGTGTGTTTAGAGTTAACCCTCCATTACAAATCTTGTAAGTACAGCATAGAGTGTTGTTAAAGCATGATAATGTGAAAAATGTATCTGTAATCTCTATCTACAATTCAGTCTCTATGGGGTGACACCACAATGAGATCTTGCACCACCTCAAAATCTTCCTAGGGCAACTTCTGGTTCGGCCCGTGGAAAAAGTTTTCTTTCCAATTCGGCCCTGGGGCAAAAACTGTTGGCCACCCCTACTATATACATTGAATATTGCTTCTATCAGTGTCAATAAATTTTATTGTTTTCCTTTGGATCTTTCTCTCAATGAAATCTAATTGGTTTTTTATTTATATATTTTTGCATAGATTTGTTCCATTATATTTTACAGAAATATTTGAAGATTAAAAAATTTTCTTGAATGATAAAGTAATTCTTAGTAGAGCAATCCATAACAATACAGTTTGAAATAATGTATCTTCAGTCTGACATTTTTAAATTAAACAAATTTTTAAGTTTTTTAAATTTACTAATTAATAGCATATAACCGGGGTGGCCAAGCTCCTTGATAGTCTGAGCCATTTTTCAAAATTTGAAATTTTTTGCGAGCCGCAATTAAATATGTATTAAAAAGGTATGCAAAAAATTCCAGATTACAAATTATATCTGTAGCAAGAGTGATACAGATTGTTTCCTCCAGAACACAATGTCAACTGTCCATTGCAATGACAGTTTACAAATTCAAAATCGGTCTGGAGTCAGTCGATAACAGACGATTACGCCACTGTTTATGTTCGTTCGCGCAGTTTTCGATGAGTCATATCATTCTTAACTTGGATGGTAATGAAATTTGTTACAACGTTGCATTTAGTCTTTCATATTTGTTGTTAGTACAGTGGTACCTCAGCTTACGAACGCCCAGCATACGAAATTTTCAGGATACGACATGAGATTCGAACATATTTTTGCTCCACGATACAAACAAAAACTCACCATACGACGTTACATTAGTTCGCATTTTTCATTTGTTTTTCTTACTACAGTTATTTTTTTTAATGTATTACTTGGCTTTAATTTGAGTATGTTTTTCGCGTTGTAACAAATTATTTGGTTTTACACGTAATCGTATGGGAAAAGATATCCACCTTACGACATTTTCATGATACGATCTCAGTTTCGGAACGGATTAATTTCGTATCCTGAGGTACCACTGTAATTTAAAAGACATTTTGAAACACATATGGAACGATAATAATTTTTTAAAATATAATAACACAAAAATGAAAAGGGAACTCGGGTACATTTATCGAGAGCCACAAATAATCCTTCAAAGAGCTGCATGTGGCTCGCGAGCCGCAGGTTGGCCACCCCTG